CGTTGGTCTGCGGACTGAAAGGTCCCAGGTTCGATTCCGGTCAGGGGCATGTATATTGGTTGCGGGCACATCCCCAGTAGGGGTGTGCAAGAGGCAGCTGGTCGATGTTTCTCTCTCATCGACGTTTCTAGCTCTCTATCTCTCTCCCTTCCTCTCTGTAAAAATCAATAAAATATATTTAAAAAAAAAAAAGAAAAAAAAGAAAAACGTTTTATGTGGATAATTTCAAACATACAAAGGTGAACAGAATGATATAATAAACAATGATCAACTTAGGACAAATCTTAGTTCATCTAGGTTCTTGGTCAGCAAACTGCGGCTCGCGAGCCATGTGCAGCTTGAGAGCCGAGGTTTGCCGCTTTATTGACTAATGAGTTTGCCCACCACTGCCTTAGGGAAAAACACTTAAAAAACATCTTAATAATGTTCTAATGTCTTTAACCTGAATCAGAACTTCTGGGTAAGGGTAATGCCTTACAGCAGTGGTCGGCAAACTCATTAGTCAACAGAGTGGCAAACCGCAGCTCTCGAACCACAGTTTGCCGACCACTGATCTAGGCCCTTACTCCTTCCTTTTTTCCACTTGGATTACTTGGAAGCTAGTCCTAGCGATCAGAGATATTTCATTCAGTTTATCCAAAAGATAAGGCTTCTTGAAAAAAAATTAGCCCACCTAAAATGCTCATAGTAATTTATTAATGTCATTAATATGATCAAATAGCATTTAAAATTTTCTAATGCATGATTTTTGTACTCTTTTATTTGTTAAAATCAAGGTAGGGATAAAGTTCCCCTATTGGCTGATGTCTCAGATCTGTTTTTCTTTAACGTTTTTAATGGAAGTGCACACAGGAAAAAGCATGTGAACCTTAGTGTGTGCCCAGTGAACGTCCCCATCCCTGCTCTCCTCCTCTGGAATTCACTGGGTCAAGAACACGTGAGCTCTGTAGTTTTCCAGGCCCTTCTGGCTGGCTGCCCGCGGTTTCGGCCGGCACGCTCCTCCCTCTTTCTCTCTTTCTCTCTCTCCCTCTCTCTCTCTTTCTCTCCTGTAAATTGCAGGTTACATCCAGTGGCTTATCAGATCAGCTCAGCTTTGGACAAAACTATTGGGTAGATGCTACTGTTGACTCCTGGTTCATGGTTCTTGGGGTGCCTCTTTCTTTTTATAAAAATATATTTTATTGATTTTTTAAAAAAATATATATATTTTATTGATTTTGTACAGAGAGGAAGTGAGAGAGAGAGTTAGAAACATCGATGAGAGAGAGTCATCGATCAGCTGCCTCTTGCACACCCCCTACTGGGGATATGCCCGCAACTAAGGTACATGCCCTTGGCCGGAATCAAACCCGGGTCCCTTCAGTCCCCAAGCTGACGCTCTTTCCATTGAGCCAAACCGGTCTCGGCTGATGTTTTTTTATAAAGAGGAATAGAGAGAAACATCAATGAGAAACATCAATCACTTGCCTCTTGCACACATCCTACTGGGGATGTGCCTGCAGCCAAGGTACACATCCTTGACCAGAATCAAACCCGGGACCTTTCAGTCCCCAGGCTGACGCTCTATCCACTGAGCAACACCGGTTCCGGCTTGGGGTGCCTCTTTCTGATGGCGTCTTTTGAAGGTGCCTGTGATGTGACCAACAGGCCAAAGCCGGGCCCACGTGGCAGGTGAGCAGGGTGTGATCTAGCTGGAAAATGGTGGTTAGAGTTGAAAAGGTGTGACCCAGTCATGACTGATTTTCTCATGAGGGTGGTAAAGTGTCCCCGAAGGAACTTCCAGAACAACATCCTGTGCAGTAGCAGCATCAAACGCACAGCCGCCCGGGGGTGACTAATGAGAAGGGAACAGAGTGACATTGATGGAGAAATTGCACGGTGGTTAGAAAGCCAGCTCGGCTGTGTGGGCGGCATCTGAGGTGTCCCTCTCGAGTCACTAGCTCCTCTTCAGGACCCCGAAATGTCACGGGATGTATCACACTCGCGTTGCAAAGTGGGCGCCGGAACCGCGCTTCTCTTGCTGAAATGCAGCCCGCATCTGCCCGGAAGGGCAGACCCTGCCTCTCGCCTTAGCTCCATCCCACGGCCCCGGGACGTGTTGACAGGTGGCTGCTGGGTCCCACCCAGCCCCTCCCCAGCCCTGGCGTTGCATCATCGGCGAGAATGTGGTCGGGGCACTGCAGGGAGGCCTGCTGCTTCTGAGCCGTCAACAAGAAATGGGGAAGCGCGAGGGCGCCGGCGGGGCTCAGAGCAGACAGCCCGCCCGGGCCCAGCTTTGTCGGAGCCCCGCAGACTTCCCTGTTCCCATTCAGCGGAACGGCCCTCGCCGGAGCCCGCCACCCCCACTGGGCGCTTCGCCCCGCCCCTCGCCCTGGCCCCGCCCCATGACGTACACCGGGCGGAGTCAGCGTCCTGCGGCGAGAACAGCCGAACCTCAGAGCCGACCCCGCTCGGAGCTCCTCCCACGCTCCTTGGCGCCTGCGCACTCGGCCCGGCCCGCTCGGCCCCACCCCCTCCCTAGCAACCGCGGCTGCGCCCGCCTCCCGCCTCGGCGGCGTCCGCGCACGAGCGCCGCTTCCGGCCGCCCGCCCCGTCACCCGTGACAACCACTGGAGCCGCGCCGCGCCCCGCCCGCGCCGCCCACTCCCCGGAACCGGCGGCGGAGCTCCGGCCGCGGCCAGTGGAGCGGCGACGGCGTCGCGGAGCCGCCGGGATGAGCGCCTCCCGCCGCCCCGCGTCCTGGGCCCGGCCCTTCTGACAGAGGTAGGCGCGCGCCGCTGCGGCGGGCCCGGGGGCGCCCGGCGCGGCCTCTCCCGGCGCCGCCGCCGCGCCCGGCCGCCCTTCGCGGCCCCCGGCTCCCCTCGGATCCCCGCGGCCCGGGCCCTCGGCCCCTCTGAGCCCCCGGGCCTCCTCGGCCCCCGGCCGGCCTCCTCCGTCCCCGGCCCGCCCCCCCGCGGCCCTCGCCGCCCTTCCCGGACCGGTCGCTCCCTCCCCGCCGCCCCCGCCGCCCCTCCTCGCGGGCAGCGGCGTTCGGGGGCCGAGCCCGTGGCTGGCGCTCCTCCCGGGCCGGCCGGGGCCTGGGGCCGCCGGAGCCGCCGCGGTGTGGCCGTTGCTGAGGTTCCAGGACCAATTGTCATGCAATAGAGGCTGCCGGGCCCGGGTGCCCGTGGCCGGGTCACTCCGATCCCCACGGAGCACGGGGCCCTGGACCAGAGCCTCGGGGCTGGGCGCTGGCGGAGCCTGCGAGGTGGCGGGTCACCCGGGAGGTCCTCCGGGTCCCGCGGGGCCGCGGTCCTGAGTGGATGGCACGGCGCCTGCACGGAGCGCTCTGCTTTTTCCTCCCCTCCCCCCCGCCGCTTTCTATCCTCCTCACCCGGAGGTGCCCCAACCAACCTCCCCGGGCCAATTTTAAGAAGATTCTGGAATCCCCTGCTGCGCACTCACTGACTAGAACCCGGTCCCCGCGGGCCAGGACCTGCGGCGGGTCCCCAATCGAGAGAGAGAGAGAGAGAGAGAGAGAGAGAGAGAGAGAGAGAGAGAGAGAGAGAGGGGAGAGAATCGACGCTTGCAGACTCTTGGCTCCGAGTCCCATGATTGTAGAACTGGAAATCTCATCTTGCCGAGGTGAACCGGGTCCGAGGGAAGTCACGTGACTCGCCTGAGGCCACCAGGCGATCCGCGGGAGCAGTTTCCAGCTGTGGGACCGGGACCTCTCCCGCCCGGAGCCCTGCCTGCTGGGCTGTAACCTGCAGCGGGGGCCCCGCGCAGACCGTCCCCGTGACTGTGCTGCTTACCGTTTTGCCTCTAGACTCCGGGCTCCAGGAGGCTGTTCCACGTCTGCTTTTGAGGGTCCTCCCAGCGCACCCAGCGGGAAACAACACCCTGGATGATTATCCTCTGCAGGCAGGTGGGTGCTCTGGGTTTATCTTCCTTCTCAAAGTCCCCCGGGCAGCACAGGGTGTTTTCCCGAAAGCCCCTGTGGGCCGGGCCGGGGCTGTGAATTCCTTGCGGTCGAAGGAAGCGCCAGCAGGTCGTTGATTGCTGACCGAGGGGACAGCTGTGAGGTCGGGCCCTTCGGGAGCCCGGGGCCTGCGTTCTGGGCGGCGTGGCCCTGTGAGGACGGTGTCAGAAATGGGGTCTGCACATGTCCAACGTGGGGGTGGACTGGTTTCCTTCGAAGTTAGCTCTTTTTATTTTTTATTTTTAAGAATATGTTTTAATAAAACAATACATAAAAAAGAAAAAAATTAAAAAAAAATGTTTTTATGGATTTCAGAGAGAGGGAGAGGAAGAGAAGGATAAAAACCCCAACGAGGAGAGAGGATCATTGATGGGCTGCCTTCTGCACACCCCCTCCTGGGGATGGAGCCCACAACCCAGGCCTGTGCCCTGTTCTGGTTCATGAGTTCATGCCCAACCACTGTGCCACACTGGCCAGGCTGAATTTTAAATATCAGTGGTATTTTTCTCACCTCCCCCCTCCCTTTGTTCCCCACTGTTACATTTCTGTGTGGCCCTGCACTTAATACCTTAAAGCGCCACCGTTTCTGTTGGCCTCGAGTAGAAGTTGTGCAGGAGAAAGGAGTAGAAGTTGTGCAGGAGAAAGGAGTAGAAGTTGTGCAGGAGAAAGCGGTCAGGAGCTGTTGTGTTGCTATCAGCACAATCAGGTGTGACATCTCACAACGGGAAAGGAGGACCCGGGCTGCCCTGGGAAGGCCCAGCAAGGCAGCTCCAGAACAGTCCTTCCGGCCTCCAGCCAGCTGCTCCCTCATTGCACTGGGCTTCCCTCGCCCTCTCCTCTGTCCATCACCTCCCCTGCCGGGACTGAGCCTTTGATTTGTGTGCGGGGAGTTAGGAGCTGTCATACCAGCCCCCGGAGATTCCTTCCTACCAGTAGCATGTAGCGTGACGTGCAGAGTGCAGGCTCGGCCTTCTCGCGTCCTGGCTATCCTCAGGTGTGTGTTTTGCAGGAGTGAGAAGGTTGCAGTGACGGCACAATCATGGTGCAGAAATACCAGTCCCCCGTGCGGGTGTACAAACACCCCTTCGAGCTGATTATGGCGGTGAGTACGAGCCTGTCCGTTTCCTCTGGTTTCTCACGTCTTCTGGGCGTTTGGGTTTGATGGTCTATAAACTGATTTGTTTGGCCCCATTGCTCCCGTTGTACTGTATATTTTATGCTTATGAGCTGTATCTAGATTCTGTGAAATGTTTTTCCCCCCATTTTTTAATTAAGATATTATATGTGTACATATCTTACCATTGCCCCCCCCCCCCCCCCCAATAGTGTGAAATGTGTTTAAACTCTAAGCCTCTGGAAATCAAAGTCTGCATGTTTGTTTTCAAACACGCCCCTCCGGGGGATGCCCCTCCCTTTGAAAACACAGAAGTGGGATTCTGACTGGACGCCTCTTCCTCTGAGTTGTGCTGTTTTTTGTCGGTTAAAGTGGAACCAGGATCCGGCGCTCCCCTCCGCTGCCCTGTGGGGAGAGCGTGTGGTCACGGGTTAATTCCTACTGCAGCCGAGCGCCCTACGATGGGGTTTAGTTGGCATTATCCTGGTTACTCTGCTGAATTCGTGTTTGCCTCAAGTTCATGAGTCAATGAGAATTCCAACACCGGAGTTGCTAGTCTTTGTTATTTACCTGAAGAGTTTGGCCGAAAATAAGCATTTTACTAGATGCAAAACCCCTGCCATCCCCGGCGCTTTAAGCTAAAACCCGCCATCCCCAGCGCTTTAGCTAAAACCCACCATCCCCAGTGCTTTTAGCTAAAACCCGCCATCCCCAGCGCTCTCAGAGTGGGGTGTTGTGCCTCCCCCCAGTGCACTGTTAAGGTCTCCCATGGGCACAGGAAATGCTTGTGTCCCCAACATGTGCTGAGGAAGGTGTCAGCTTGGACCAAGGTCAGGAACACAGCACACCAGCCCCCTGATCAGCCCCACCGGGCCCTTCTCAGCACTCCCCACCCCCCAAGCACGTGGCTGGATGTTCTTTCTGTTCTATACACATCGAAACTCAGGTGTTCAAGGCCCTCTGTTTGCATGGTCGGTGAGTTTATCCAGATCCATCCAGTTTTGAAAAACAAAGTCCTCTCCAGGGAGTAATTAGGGTTAGGGAGGGAGGTACTCTGAACTCGGAGGGAAGGAGTGGTCGCTGGCAGGTGCTCAGTGCGATCAGTCGGTTTGACAACAGAGTGGCCACACCTCCCCAGGGTCAGACCCTTTGCCCTGCCCTGTTGCTCCCCAGGAAGGCCCCTTGGCCCCTCTGCCAGGTGCGAGCTTTTGTCGGTGTCTTTTCTGGAGAGATGCTTAGCGCCCTGTGGCCTGGGTGCCAGGCTGGTCCGTGTTGATGGCAGCCACTTATGGAACAGCTCGCCCCCTGCTTGCACGGGCTGTGTGCGGGCCTGTGTGCAGGTTTAGTGTTTGGTTGGTTGTAAGAGCAAAGACTCGCTCCAGGGAGCTGGAGGAGGAGGGAGGGAGAGGAAAGGGGGAGCAGGAAGGGGAGGAGGGGAAGGGGGAGAGGATTGTTAGGCTGGTGATAGGAATGGTGCGGAAATGCAGGAATGTGGGCTGGGAGGGAGTTCCTGCAGTGCTGGGGCCTCAGCCATGTTCTCCCTGGTGAAGGTCCAGGGAGAACTTCACGGGCACCGGCACCGGCCGGGGCCTCTGTGTGCCCAGCCTCTCCCCTCCACCAGCCGCCGCTCTGCCCACTCCCTGTGCTCCCTCCTCGGATGGCAGCCCATGTGCTTTGTCAGCTGTGAACCCCGCGGTCCCAGTGCAGTGCTGGGGTGTTCTTGCTGCATTCTTTCCGTTTCTGAGCGGCCACTGCTTGTCATGCTTCCTCGTGGAGATTCTAGTGAGACTTGGCCTGATCAGCCTCCCTGGACCTCAGGGGACCAGTTCACGCGATGCTTCCTCCATCTCTGTCCGCAGGCTGTGCTGCGTTCTGGGCAGTGTTTCCGCTGGGCAGCCCCTGTGGAAGGATCACCCCGAACGCCTTTGCTTTTCTTCACGGGCCTCCGTGTCCTGCTCGGTCCAGCCTCACCTCACAGGCTGTGCGAAGTGCAGCACAGACACTGTCTCCTGCGCCGGGGTGCCCCTCGCAGCGCCGTCCCGCCCTCGCCTTTCTTTGGCTGCCTCCTTCCGGTTTCAGTGTTTGCCCTTCCCCATCTGTCTGGGAATCTCTCTTTTTTAATCTTCACCCAATGATATTTTTTTCTATTGATTTTCTAGAGAAAGTGGAAGTGGGGAGGGGAGAGGCAGGGAGGAACGCCCATGTGAGAGACACATCATCGGTGATCGGTTGCCTCCTGCCTGCGCCCCTGACTGGAATTGAACCCAAAACCCTCCAGTCTGCAGGCTGATGTCCTGACCACTGAGCGAAGGGCCAGGGCGTCTGGGAGTCTTAGTCTCCCTGACCCACCCTTTCCTGCTGCGCCGAGGCCTCTCCGTCCTCTGAGCCTCAGCGCAGGCAGGTGGTCCTGTCACTAGTTAGCGGAGTTTCTCTTCTCAGATATTCCTGACTTTTTTCTGACACCTCTATAAATTATGCAAACCCTGCCGACTAGGGCCATCGCAGTGGGTTAAGCGATGCACTCTTACAGGGTGAATGAGCAGAAGGCACTTTGCTCATGTGCAGTTGATTAAATGGCCGAGAGGAAGCGTGCCTTTTTGCTCTTTTCATCCTCATTTTATTCTGTTTGTTTCTCTGTTCTGTGCAGTTCTGAGTTGCAAATAGGGTATAAAACATTTCATCCCCAGGGAACTGGGGCTCTTATTTATGTTGCTGTTTAACCCACCTTCACGTATTGGCAGGTGTGAGGAGGAGGCCTCTGAGCACCTGCCGGAAGGCCTGGGGCTGGTGAGGCCCCGCGCTCGGCGCTGGGCAGGCAGTGTTTGGCGCAGGCAGTGGTTGTTCGCCAGGGCCCGGGAGGCGGAGAGGGCTGTGGGGCTGGTGGGAGGCTCCTCTCACGTTCCCTGAAGAGGTTGGTGGCCACTGTTAGCGCCGATGCTTTCTTGGTTTTCAGGCTGTCCAAGGGAAGCCGACAGCTCTGTTTGCTTCTCCCGGAGTGACTTTACACGTGACGGTGCGTATGATGCGTCATAATTTCGAGCGGTACAATCTGACGTCAGGGCTGCTTGCCTTGATTTTTCAGAAAGTCTTTATGTCTGTGTCCTCACCGCTCCACAAGCTGGTGCCGTAGCATCCTGGGATGTGCGGGGCCGCTCCGGCCAGAAGCCCGCCCTCTGCACGCCGGGACCTCCTGCCAGGCTGGGCGGCCACTTCTGCCACGCACACCGAGTCTCCGCCCTGGCCGCGGCCCCAGGCGCGCTCATTGTAAATCTGAACAGGCCACTCGCTAGGTTAAAATCCTTCAGTGGCTGCACCTCACCTTCAAGAAGTTCAGCTTCCTGAGTGTGGTCCAGAGCTTCCCCTCTGCCCCTCCTTTCCCTATGGCTCCGTGGCACATGCAGGCCCCACACCCACTTCGCACTCCTCTGAGGGGTCCGGGAAGGGTCTGCAGATCACGTGATTTCTCATGGCCTCCATGCCTGTCCACCAGCCTGCGGGACCCCTTTCCCCTGCTCACTGTCTGACTCTCCCCCTCCCCCAGCTGGAGCAACTGGCCGGTGCCCTCTGGCTGGGTCCCAGCTCTGTGCTCTGCTGCTCGCTGCCGTGCCCGGTCGCTGGGCCTGCTGGCTGCCCCTCGGGCAGGCGTTCTGATGCTGCAAGTCCAGCCATCTTGCTTTTCATCCTGAGCACATAGGAGCCTCAGAAGTAGGTCTGAGTACAGACTGAGGGAGCCTCGGAATGTCCCTTCCCCTCCCCTCCCCAGCCCCTTCTGCCAGGTCTCTGGAGCGGGTCAGACATATTTGTCCTTTGTGACCTGCTTCCTTTACTTCGCGTGATGCCGTCACTGCTGGTGTGGGAGCATGTGTCAGAATTGCCTTTGGAGGCTGAGTTGTTTATTTTGCATATAGACTACATTTTGTTTATTCACCCATCGGTGGACACTGGGATTGCTTCCATTTTATGCTTATTGTACAGTTTCAACTATAATGTCCACCAGAAATAATTGCATACCTCTTAGGTTTATTTTTTGTCTTTTACATTTGATAGATTCTAGATCTAAAAGACAAGTTCCTGAGGAATTCACTTACTGTATCTCATCCCACGCAGTCAAAAGATAGCTCTAATTTACATTTCGTGACTGCCGTGCTGTGAGTTTCTTAACAGAGAAAGAGCAGCGTCTGACAGCAGGCGGTGACCGCTGGACGCAGAGGGGCCGGGGCAGGGAAGGAGCGGCAGACGCTCCGGGGCTGTGCGGACAGGCGAGTGAGGTGTGGAGTCAGTGGGCCGGAGAGAGACCTCCCTGATGGGTCCCGCCCGCTCCTGCTCGCAGCCCCTGACGGTGCAGTTTTATTGTGGCTCCCGAAGCCACGTGACACTCCATCGCTCTCCGCCCCTGAGTGCGGGCAGACCGGCAGCTGGAGGTGACAGCTGTGCGCCCGGGCGCCACGTGCTCCTCTGAAGTTGAGCTTATTTTTCACGCTCCGGCACGCAGTGCGCTCCCGCCCTCCCGGCTGCAGAGGAGTGCGAGCCGCTGCTGCTGTCACATACAGTTTGCTCTTTATCAGCAGAAAATCGCATGGAAAACCGGGGCTTGCTGTGGATCCCATTGGAGCATGAGTCAGTCACGTGATTGCTTTAAAGACACAATTAAGCCCGTGGAAAACACGAGAAGAGAGACCTTTCAGAGTGTGCAGCCGCTCAGGTTTGCCTGGGGCTTTAAGAAACTGGCCAGTGAAACATTTGACCTTCCAGGCTTATTGACAGAAATAAGATACTTAAGTATCAAGACCTACTTAGAGACTGGGTACTTCTAGTTTTTCCAGCTAGCGTCCTTGAATTCTCTGACAGGGATGAGTTAATGCTTTTATTTTGACCATTGAAAAAATACGTAGAGCCCTGGCAGGTTTGGCTCAGTGGACTGAAGAGTCCCAGGTTTGATTCCTATCAGGGCACATGCCCGGGTTGAGGGCTCAAACCCCCGTAGGGGG